CTATCTGCTGTTGAGCTGATTCCAGCTCACGGCAGCCCGATGTGTGTCAACCCTAACCCTAACCCTATGCTCCACAGGGTTCTCAGCGGCTGACTTCCCCCCAGAGTAGATCACCAGGCTCCTTTTTCCCTCGGGGTGGTCAAACGACTACATTCTGAGTTACCAGCCTAGTGCGTTCACCATGCCCACCTTTCAGGGACTCCGTAAGGGTTGCTAAAAAGTAATGGAGAACAAGCGAAGCAGAACGCTTCCGACACCAAGATGAGCACGGAAAGGACCAGCCCCGGATACAGGCTGTACCTAACAGAGCTCCAGGGAGAAGACAACCACCAGCTGCCCGACCTTCGGTTTTCCCAAATATCCCAAATAAGGGATAAAAATGTCGCATGATCCAACTTTATCCCTTCAACATATTTTGGTACAAATGTAATAGAAAATATTAAACTGCTAAACATATTTAACACTTTATGTAATCAAATGAATTGAAACCAGGGTAATTTTAAATAAGATCTACTTCCATTAAAGCAGATCATGAAAAAAAAAACTTGCAGCAATAAAACGCAACCTCAGAACTACCTTTAGTAGCAATAAGTGTAGGCTCCTTGAATCAATTACATTTTAAATTTACCAAGAGTCGAAAGAGGAGAAACTGGTGTTTTCAAAACAGTAAGAACAGCCAAGCGAAGCTGCCTAGGAAAAGAAATGCAACACCCCCCCACCTCCTCCAAGAACCTGGGTAAATCATTTATTTGCAAATAAAAACAAAAATGATTCTTGTATCATTTTAATACAATCATGGTGTTTGTTTTTTAATCATTTTATTGGGAGCTCATACAGCTCTTACCACAGTACATACACGCATCCATTGTGTCAAGCACATTTGTACATTTGTTGCCATCATCATTTTCAAAACATTTTCTTTCTACTTGAGCCCTTGGTATCAGCACCTCGTTTTTCCCCTCCCTCCCTCCCAAGCCCTTGATAACTTATAAATTATTACTTTTTCATGTCTTACACTGACCAATGTCTCCCTTCACCCACTTTTCTGTTGGCCATCCCCAGGTAGGCGGTTATATGTAGATCATTGTGATCGGTTTCCCCTTTCTCCCCAATTATGGTGTTTTTAAAAGAAAACTTATAAAGCATCTTAAAATATTTCGCTGGTAGAATTTGCTAAAAACCTTTTACAAATAACTTCTGATTTGGTTCACAGAAGACAACCACGGTTGGGACCTTTCCCGACACAGTGCTGTAATCGGGTACACATTACTACATGCATATATCCTTCTCTCTTCCAGAATAGAGAATCACGGGTGGAACCAAGTACTTTGCAAAGATTGACCATAAGGCGGTGGAGCGAGGTTAAGCCTGGTGACTTCTGTTGCACCCACGTCAACCAAGGGAGTTATGACACATGCTCCACCAGGAGTGGACGGGAAGGGCTGTATCCTGCTAATAGTAATAAACAGTCTATACGCACGTTACCAAGTCGCACCACCCTTGCTCTTAAGAAATATCTTGGCTATACATCTTCCAATACAGATCTGCTTAAATTCTAAACCAACCACGAGAAAAGAATTTGGGCCAAGTAGTTTATGGGGCCAAGAAACCTAACTAAGGGGTATGGGGCTGGAAAAGTAAGACAGAGTAAAGGGGGGTGTGGGGGGAGGAATCAATAAAGAGTTCACACATTGCTTTGGACAAGTGTAGTTTGGTCCTAATAAAAGATACTAGGAAATCATGCATAACACTGCCTTAGGATTATCCCACTAAGGAAAGAAAGCTGGTGGGGTAGGTATCTGTCCATTCCCACCACCTGGAGCAGGGATCAGTAAATTCGCAGCACTTCCTGGCTGTCATACCAGCCTGGGACTGACTGCCTGGCTCAGGTGGAGGGAGGTCAGAGAACAGTGCCTTTGAAGAAAGAAGCTGTCAGCAAGTTGGGATCTGTCCACCACAGCTGCAGGTGTGCCACAGTGGGAAAGGGAGGGAGTCAACAGCATCTGTTCGAAGCTTGAACGAAATGCTTGTTTAAAAAAAAGCCACAGCAGCTGTTTGACAGTAAGAGCAAGAATGTAAGGACACTGACACGCGGTTCCAGCAGTGAAGTGCTAAAACAGAGGCAGGGAGAACCAACCTGACAAGGATCTGATTAGCTATTTGAAGACAAATTACAGGTAAAGCTTTGGGGAAGACAGGGTAAAAATATTATTTTGTGACTAAAATTCTTCAAAAATTAATTTTGTTGTACATACACTTTATATAAAATTTAACTTCTATTACTGAGAGTTTGGGGAACAGTCTTAATTGCCTGTTCACACTTTATCACCTGTGGCTTTCACGTTACAACAGCAAAATAAGAGTAACTGTAACAAGGATCTTTACTGTTGTTAGGCTGTTGCTAGGTACCATACAGTCAGTTCTCACTCATAGCAACCCTATATATAAACGAATGAAACCCTGTCCAGTCCCAAACCATCCTCCACACAATAGATGCTTTGAAGTCCATTGTTACAGCAACTCTGCAAACCCACCAAACCAAGGATCTCCTCTTTTGGGTGGCCCCCTTACTTTACCAAGCATGACATTCTCTATGGGCTGGTCCCTCCTGATCACATGTCCACAGAACATGTGACCACGTCTCACCACCACCTTTGCTTCTAAAAGCTATTTATTCTGACTATATTTCTTCCAATACAGGTCTGCTAATTTCTATGGAAGTTCGTGGAATATTAAATATTCTTTTCTAAAACCATACATTATTCAAAGCCATCTACAAGAGGCAGTGAATTATTTACTGTGGCTCTTCTAGTCTCTAACTCCCACCAAATGACCTTTCCCTGCAAATGCCTGGTAAAGTAGGGGAAGACACGGATAGGATTCACCTGTGAGTGAATGTGAACAGATTCCCTGGAGTGCCATCCTACTGTGTATAAAATGAGCTTTCTGAGAAGAGGAGGAATCTCATTACCAGCATGAGCCAGGAGTGGAGTGCACCCTCTAAACTTAAGATTCCTCTGCAGTGAACCTCCTCTTGGATCTAAATGAAAGCTATACCATCGGAGGAGCAGCAACAGAACCAGGAACCAGAGCATGGAACAGTGATGGCCTTCCTAATCCCCACAGAGCAAGTAAAGATGTGCAGGAAGCTGGCTTGTGGAGTAGGCTGCCTCTGGTCACTTAATTGGGGGATCTGAACTTGCTGACCCATGAAGTAGAGCTAAGTGCCTTTGAGCTGAGACTTACTGGAGTGGCATGCCTCTGAGCACTTAAATCAGAGCTGCATTTGCTGACCAATAACAACTCATGAGGTGCGGCTCATGGTGGAACTGTAAACTCATATCTACAGTGGCTTGAGTTCTTTGTCAATGGAAAAAATGTTGACATCGCCTTATACCCTAGGGGGATGACTGACAGTTTTTTAATTTGAGTTTTTGTTCTTCTGCCTTTTGTTTCTGGTCTTGGGTTTGTGTTGTATTTTCCCGGTTATGTAGGCACATGAAGACAAGCATGCTACTGGTAAAGGCAACAGAAACATAATCTTGTGGTAATGGTGATAAGTGGAGTGAGAGGGAAGGAGAGAGCAGAAGACATCAGAAAGCTATGCAGGGATGTTGTAGTTACAGTTCCAGGTGTTCAGGTCTTATTACCAGTTCCAGGTGCCAAAGTGACAGGGGAGACTGCAAGGCAACACATCCCTGTGAGAGTGGAAATGACGAAAGGTTGCAATGACAGAAGTGAAATAGGCACTTTGCATCTTTTGCTATATGGGAAAAATCATGAATAAGCAGACTAACCGAGAGGGAATGGCAGTTCTAAGGAATATTTTCAGTTTTATTTTTAAAAAAGGAAAGCTCTCAAGAGAATTATTCAGAGATGAGAATACTCCCATTAAGCTTAAATTAAAAACACTTATAATTATCATTCTTTTGTATTTTACTATGTGTCTTATGTTGAAATGAACATATTACCATATTAATGTAAGAATTTGATCTATTGAAATTTTACACATTGCTCAAAATTCAAGAGAAAATACCAATTGGGGACTCATTCATCTGGGGGCAGACATCCTCAAACTACGGCCCGCGGAACACAAGCAGCCCGCCGGGTGTTTTTTTACTTCAAAATTTAAGAGATGTGCAGTGTGCATAGGAATTTGTTCATAGTTTTTTTTTTTTAACTATAGTCTGGCCCTCCAACGGGTCAGAGGGACAGTGAACTGGGCCCCTGTTTAAAAAGTTTAAGGACCCCTGATCCAGGGAAACCAAAGAGCCAAATAATTATCAAAAAGCACTGAAAAAAAGTCAAGTGCTTAATTGCATGTGTGTATAGCAGTGTATCTCAATGC